CTCTCTCTCTCTCTCTCTCTCTCTCTCTCACACACACACACACACACACACACTTCTCTGCAAAATAAAAGAACTCAAGTAATTAGTTCAGTCAACCTACTATGATATCTGGGAACTTGCTATCTCAAGCCTTTGGTCAGCACATTCAATAATTTCCTCATATGATGTTACCTTTCAAAATAAAATCATCAAGCGATTAGCTGCTGTGTAATATCTAAAACAGCAAAAGAAGGTTTCCACGAAACAATACATTCTCATCTCCATAGGCCCTGCATTTGTATGTGTTGCTCCCACTGGCCCTAATGAGCATTCTACAGCTATATCCTATTTGTCCTGCTCATGCAGATAATCCCACTGACTTTAGAGGGACTAACCATGTGAATAAAGTAAGCAGGACTTGGCTCATATGCTAAATTTCTACACACACCGAGTTTAGCTTGCTTTTCTATCAAAGTATATCGAACCCAGCTATCTGTTGTTTAGAGGTTTCCCATCCAGGTACTGACCTGGCCTGACTCTGCTTACTTTGTGAGATCTGACAAAGAGTTCACAAGTCTAAGAAGACAATTAACATAAGATAGGTTGGAAGAGAGGGAAAAACATACAATTTAAACAAATGTCCTGAAAATGTCAGCTTTCCATTGTGTCGGGTTAACATGTAGAGTTTCTGCTATACAATCACACTTGTACCTTGCATGTCAAGCTACCCAAATCTCCTTGAAGCTTCTCGTTTTCTCCTGTGAGCCTCTTGCATTCTTCTTCCTTTAGCACCAGATGGTTTTCCAGTTTTGTAATCTCAGAAAAACAACACAAATATTTCATTGACAGTTACTGTCTTAAACATATCCTGTTAAACATCAGAAATAAAGAGCTACCACTCAGAATGGAAGAGTGGAAGATAGAGGGCAGCCATGATTTCCTGAAAAAGGAGAGTGGTCTTTGCAAGCCTTTATTTGTCACTTGTCTCAGTTCCCAAACTGTAAAGTGAGGATAACGTTGCTTGTACTTACAGGGTATTGTGAGGCATAAATCAATATTTGTAAAGTATTTTGAGGCTCCCAGATGGCAAGCACTATAAATAGAAAATGCCATTACTTATCACCACCAGAATGTGTTTATGTTTGTGTGTGTATGTACATATATCCATAGGAGTATAGAAGGTTCACCAGACTTAGGAAGGGAACTAGAATTCAGTGTGACAAAGCGGTATTGTACACTGATTTCCAACAAAAATAACTTCCAAGGCCTTATTCTGTCAGATACTGGTTTCCTCACCTGGCAATGGAGGTCATCACTTTGGTTATGGTATTCATCCAGTTTTGTTCTCAGCAAATCAAGCAGTTCTGTGCCGTTCCCAGTTTCCTCTTGACCAGCACCTGCATCCTATGTATAAATGTGCCATTAAGGAAAATTGGGTCAAATCCAATATTAGTCATTAGACTTGTTTCCTTTTCTATAATAATGGATTTCAAGTTCCATAATGTAATTAGTCTATTTTTACAACTATTATCCAAACCACACAATCTACCAAAGATTAGTTTGGTCTTCAACCCACTAAATTTTTAAAAAAATTGCTTGTCAAAATTAGGACAATATAGTCTCTGTGCTTGATTCTCTACTTGTTAATCCAGGTGTAAACTGGTGTAATTCTGCTGATTTTAGAAGTGTTACACTTACCTAAAACTGGAGTAATGCACTAATAACTCAAACCCTCTATTTAGTATGTTTAAGTTTTCCTAAAGACTACATCCCATAATTTAAAATGTTTGGTAAAAGTGACTGATCCACAGAGCTCTACTCATTCTGATATAACTTTTTGAAGTGTAAAATGTAAAAAGATTATGACGCAAAATCTCACCCCAACTCCACTCCCTTTGTGACTCTCAGGCAATGTAAAGGAAGCTGAGACTCACTATAATTAAGGCTAAGATTTTGTCATGGTTATTTTTAGTAAAAGTCATGGACAGGTCACGGGCAATAAACAAAAGTTCACGGAAGCCATGACCTCTCTGTGACTTTTGTTGCTGCTGCAGCTCCATGGTTTCCCCTGCTACTGTGGTGGCTGGGAGCTGTGGGGTTCCCCTCCCCCCACAGCAGCTAGAGGCTGCAGGGGGACCTTTTCCAAGGTGACTGGGAGCTGCAGAGTGACCATATTTCCTAAAGAGAAAATGGGACACCCCCAGCCGCTTGCCTGAGACGCCCCCGTCCCCCCGCACAAGGCTGTCACCTGTCACTGGAACCCCAAGGAGGGCCCCCTCAGGAGACTGTTGCTGGAACCTTGCAGGGGGCCCCCTGTCACTGGTGTCGCTTGTCACTGGAACCCTGCCAGGGCCCCGCTGGCTGCCAGCTCCAGAGTCCCGCAGCCCCCCGGACTGAAGCAGAGAATGTCATGGGGGTCTCTGGAAGTCAGATTCCGTGACTTCCATGACCTCCATGATATAAACGTAGCCTTAATTTTAATTCCCATGCAAGGAATTCCCCCAGCATTGGATGTCCCCAGATGGCACACAGATGTCAGACAGGGCTCTAGGCTGCCTTCTCTGCAGGCCCTGGTGCCAGGGGTATATCGGGACTGGGAGTGGAGAGCAAATGACCAAAGTTTGACTCCCTCAGGCAATCCCCAACTGGACTATAGCCAGCTAGGAGAGGTGAGGCATGTGGCAATGGAGTATGGGTGCTGGGAAGCAAACACATCCAATTCTGAATCCTGACTTACCTGCACCTTGTCTTTTTGACAGTCAATAAAAATATAACAGGTCTTTTACAGATAAGGCATGAAATTTGGAAAGAGAAAGGAAGAGTGAAACAGGAGGCCTGTCTAAACTAGGCAAGTCACTATGTTAATGAATGGGGTAGCACCACTAGTGCTGTCTTGCCCTGCAACAGAGCAGTGTGACTTCATTAGACAGTTTGGTTTATATGTATTAGTGCAGTGCATCCAAACACACCCAACTGTTATTGTACCTATGCACTGAAACTCCTTCCCCAAAGTTCCCTGCATATGTGTCCTCAACGGGGCACAGCAGCAGGTGCAAAGCCGGCAGCACTCGGATACATACATCTTGTTTTTATTGTACCATTAGTAGTAGTGTATTCTTCTTAGCACCCAGGGCCCTAAATCAGGACTGAGACCCTATTCTATTAGGCTCTATACAAATACAAAGGGTATGTCTAGGAACAATCACAGGGTGTGCAGCTCGAATAGACTTTCCTGAGCTAACTTTAATTTAGCTAGCTCAGATCCTGGAGTAGTGAAGCTGCAGCAGCGCATGCTTAGCATAGGCTTGCCCTTAAAGTCATTATCCAGAGTTCTGGGTGGGCCTGTACAGCCTGTGCTGCCGCAGCTTCACTCCAGAACCCAAGCCAGCTAGATTAAAGCCAGTTTGGGTTCATCTGCTTAAACGGCAATCACACTCTCTAGCCACACCCACAGTATGAGATAATCCTGTCCCTGGGGAACTAAGTCATATTCTATTTTAATATAACCGTATATTATATTAATACTGACCAAAAAAACCAACCTACTACCTTTAATTTCTGTAACTGTTGATAATGTTGAACTCACCTCAGTCACTTGATCTTGGGAAGCTTTCTCATGAATAATTAACTCTCTCATGGCTGCTATGCTTTCCCTGTGTTTCTGTAACTAAACAGTTACAGTGATTAAAGTGTACGTGAGAGAGAGAATATATGCCACTCAAGTATAATTTATTTTTAACACAGACATCGTAGAAAAACTATCAATCACACAAGCAAATCTTGAGTGGAGAGACTCCCAACCAAAAAATACTGCTTTATAAATGATGCACAGAGCCTGGGTAGTACATTATTTATATTACTTCAGTATCCCCAGAAGGAAGCACAGCTAACAAATGTATCCAATTTATTCTGTTCAGATTTTTGTATCATGCCCATCACTATGTTCATCCAACAATTTTTATCACTTCCCATCTTAGGCCCCAATCCATGCACTGATGCAGGGGTACAGCTGCATGGAGATAATTGCAGGATCTGGGCCTTAAGGATCAAGCGTGCCTGTTAGACCCTAACCCCTGCTGTAACCCATCTCTGCCCTGGGGCTGGCTACAGATCTGTTCATTAATTTCTTTTTTATTTATTTTGATTTTCAAATCCATTTCCTCTTTTCTTCAGAGAGAACAGCAAACCTGGGTACATTAAGAGACATTTTATAGCAGTAATAGACTGCAGCAACTGACATTCCTTTTAAAGAAATTCAGAGCTCCAACTGCACTGTCATCTCTTGTAACAATATTTTGGTATCAATACAGGGGCATATTCACTCTGTAAAATGGTATGTTTATAAAAGCCTATTTATAAGGTGGTATCCAGAATGAAATGTGAGGATCAGAAGCCAGGTTCCCAAGATAAGTCAGTTTAACCAGCCATTCAAGGTTAAGTGGGAGAACAATTTGATTCCATTTAGAAACATACACAGAGTAAGTTCTACCACTGTGCAGCACAAGGTAGGGTGGCAGGATTTGTAGATGCAGAGTATTCTCCATCCACAGTACTAGCAATGGAGCTTGAATGCTTCACCACAATGGGCTTGGTTCTAGCTCCTCCTAGTGGACCAGTACAGAAGGTATGGACACTGCATGCAGTATTGTTATTAGCATACGGCAATGTATCTGCCATTTATCCCCATTCTTTAGAGTCATTGAAATACATTGCCTGAGTTGTTCTTGGCAGTCTTCCCAATTAAGCAGCCATGCTATCTATCTGTAAGGTTGCTGAGTAAATGATTCTACTGTATAAAATATTTTGACTGGAGTTTTGACTTACACTCCAGTGGAACCTCTTGGCCAATTTAAAAGGTGATTAACAGAGGGATATAATACCCAGACCCACAGATCAAGGGCACTGTTTTGCTGAGTTTGCCCCAGAAATTTGGGAACATATCTCAGCAGGAATTAGAATGATAAAAAACAACAACATCATGAAATTATAGGTGATGCCTTTTATTGGAATAATTCAGAATTAAATGGGTAAGCTTTTGAGGATTGCACCTTCTTCATCAGGGACCAAACAGAGATTCAGACCTTGATGAGGACAGTTTGAGTCTCAGAAATCATTTTCATAGTCATTCCCCAAGAAGACATCACCTAACATTGTCTTGTTGTTTTGCTGAATCTGTCTTTCTTCTTGGGACAGTCTGGGCTGGCAGGAGCCCTCACTTCTACCTTCACCAAGAATGAGGGAAGATTTACCTCTTTCTCCAAGGTTTTCTTTTTAAGGGTGACGTTCTTCATTTTTTCTCCAAATTCAGTAATCATTTCACTCTTCTTGGAATATTCAGTGGTAGAATCCATGTCCTAGTAAGCATAACAGTGGGACAGCATTAACAATGTTTAAATAGTCAGACTAATGAGATTTACCAGGCCTAACTGAGGTCTGTTCAGAACCATCAGGTTCTGAACTTGTTCCCTAGGCCAGATAGTGCTAGGAACAGTAGTGACTTTAAGGGGAAAGAACACCTAATATTGTTGTTCAGTGACATCCTGATGGCCTGCCCAGAGATAGTTCACATCTAGAGGTTCTTTGCTGGAAGTCCAACCACCAGGCTTTTAATCATGTAAGAGCAGTACCCTGTGATCTGCACTGGCTGCTTGTTAGTTTGCAGGTGGAGTTTAAGATGTCTGTTTTAACTTACATTGTCCCAAATGGTTTGGAACCACCTGCCTACCTGAGAGATTGGCTCCCTCACCTTGTGGCACAACCTCATCTGTGATCAGTGAAGATTTTTGTAGCTGGAGAGCCCTGGCTTAAACAGGAAGGGCCTGCTGATAGGACATTTTCCATGAGGGATCCATGACTCTAGAACTTACTTCCCCCTTGGTTTACCAGAGCACAGATTTGTGAACCTTCACGACATGCTGTAAAGGACCATCTTTCTTCTCTTCCTGTTTGGGAAGCATGACTTGAAGGACATGGATTGAATAATGTAGGGAAGGGAAGGTTAGCTAGGATTACTGTGGTGGGAAAACATAATTATGCCAGTGGTGGGAGATTTAGTTTATTACATATAATGATTTCAGTGTTACCTTATCTATTATAAAAATTCCTAGAGCAATAGGTGGACTCTTGAAATAAGTAAAAAATGAATGACAGAAAGGAAGGATTGAGGGGAATAAAAATTCTCTCTCTCCCTCCCAAAGACTCCCCAAGGATTTGCCTGTGACTAAAATTGAAGGGTAGGCTTGAAGTCAAAGTGGGAGCTGTTCTCCTTTGGAATTTTATGTGTGCAATTTTTATTACAATAGCAACTACAGGCCCATTATGTTAGCCACTGTACATACACTTAGCAAGACACATCCTCTATCTCAAAAAGCTTACCATCCAATTAGACTAGACAAACTAAGGGATGGGAAAAATGGAATCTTATTCCCCTTTGATAGATGGGAACTGAAGCATAGAGAGAGTAAAACCCTGGTCCCGCAACTGATGATGTGCGATTGCAGCAGTACACCCATAATAGATCACTTCTCTTCACTGGGGCTCCACATGGGCTCACTGCCACTACATGCAGTTAGTTGAAGGACCAGGACTCAGTGACTTGACCAATGTCATACAGGATGTCTGTGACAGAAACTGAACCCAGATCTCCTGAATCCCAGTCCAGTTGTGTAGGATTTGACCCCTGGTTTCAATTTTGTCCTTTGTTCTGCTCTGAATTTGTCAAAGAGGGCTTAAATAAACACTCAAAATATTGAATAAAATATAGACATATTAAGAAATTAAATGATTAAATAACAAACATATCCCATATAGGAATAGCCAGTAATGCTGTTGTACATCATGAAACAGCCACACAACTGAGGAAGAATTCACCACTTCACTGATCCTTGGGTTTTGAAAATTCTTTACTCTTTTCAAACACTGAACTAAAATTAGTCCAATATGAGTTTTATATTGTCCATTTCTATCTCTTCTCTTCTTCCATGGGGCTTGTAGCTGTTCTGCCATGTAAGGAGTCCATACAACTTTAAAGGTCTTCAGTATGGTTTGAACAGAATAGGCCAGTGCTCCATTTCCTGTACATGCCACATACTGTATTACCAATCATTATTCGCCTGATTCCCATTGACTTCAATGGACACTGAGTCAGGTCCTAGATGAGAGGGGAGACTTAGGCTTCCAAGCTCTCCCTATGGTACTGAAATAGGAAAATTACTGATATATTTTTTAAAAGTTTATCATAAGGAATGTCATACAGACTCCTGCTACCTCTAGCAAGATTCAAACCGAGTATGTCAGCGCACACTATGGAACTTTTAGGCATGGTAGCAGGGTCCACTCAGCAAGTTAATGCACGGCAGGTCAGTGTGCTGTAGATTCACACCCTGGCTTGCTGCACACTAACTCACCATGTAGGCAAGCCCCGCTTTTACAAACATAGGCCCTGTTCCTGCAATGTGAACTGCATGGGTGAATCACTGCACCCACCTGGATTCCTGTGGGCTCTGCCCACATGCTGCTCAATGCAGGATTGGAGCCTTAGGGAGACAATGGAAGGAAGAAGCTATTTTATACCATTGCATCTAGGGAAGGAGTCAACATTTTTGAAAGGTGTTATTATTTCACAGTCTATGTAGCAGGGGTGAAATCCTGGCCCCACTGAAATCAATAAAAAGCAACAGAGAGTCCTGTGGCACCTTTAAGACTAACAGATGAATTGGAGCATAAGCTTTTTGTGTGCCCCTTAGTGCTGCCAGCATGGCACAAGTGGGCTAAACAGGCTAGAGAATTTGGCCCTACATCTCCAACACTGTTTATCTCCGACACATTCTTCTGTTTCCAGTAGACATTGTCTATAAAGAAACAATGTGAACTTAATGCAGGAATTTTCACATTCTTTATACAATTGCTCAGGAGTCACATGGAAATTTTAATGGCCCCACTCTTAATGGCAGCCATCTGTTCCATAGATAGAGGACACTTCATAGCTACCAAATCAGCTCCCCTGGGGATTAAGTAAAAGGAGCCAGAAGCAACCACTGAAAATGTTTCTTTCCTGGTTTGACACCTGTGGCTAAGCCAAGGATACTATGCAGGTAGGTATGGCCTACACCAGGAGCATTGCTCAAAATGCAACCTTGTTGCTAACCCTATTTCAGCTCCACCAGTGTTAGTAACTCACCAGCACTCACTCACCAGAAGGCTTTCTTAAGCAGCAGATCTTAGACACACATTTGGTCTAACGCACAGTGCTTAAAATGCTGGCAGCAACATGGAGCCTAGTTTACACCCTGGCTCTCAGTATCGTTACGTTGGTGGAGCTGAACCGGTGTTACCAAAAATGCCCCTATTGTAGTCAAGACCATAGAGGCTTACAGATAAGAGGGGAGCAATAATTTGATATTGTTCATTATCCTCAGCCACAATTATTTTTCTTTTAACACGTCGTGTGTGTGTGTGAATTTAATGCTCATGAAAGGTGCGGGACCGACAGTCCTGAACAACAATGAAAGCAGTGTTAAAACATTTATTCCACCCATTTGTCAGTGGAAGGGAATAGTCTGAGTGGGGTTTTGGCAGGTAGGCAATGCTAGAAGGTGTTTCAGGTACATCTCCATCTGTTTTTCTTCTTCTTGCCCTTCCATACATGGACAGAAAATGTTGCCTTGGAACCAGCAACCTAAATGCGCTTCCAAGCTAGAGTACCAACTTAGCAAGGGAATGGGAGCTCAGCCGCGTAACTGTGACTGGTTAAAGTTGCAGGGAGGAGTTAAAATAATAGGGTATTTTTGTTTGTTTTCAAGACATGTCTGAAATTCCTTTATTTTAAATTATTGGAAAAATACAGCAAGAGTGAATACCAGGTGACTAGCTCCGAATGGATCTGAAATCAGTGCCTAGGACTTGTGTAGATAGGCATTGACAGGGCTATTTTGCATTACCTGGCAGGTAAGTAGTCCCTCTGTGAGGGACAAAAGGCTCCGAATTTTAGATAGAAGCTGGGATGCTCGCTGCACACATGGAGAACTGAAACGGTCTTCTTCGCTGTGGAGGTTTTTCTGGATTAAATCAGAATGCATCGACTTCATATCCTGTAAGGACACATTGAGGTCTGTCAGATTACAGGACAAAGGCTGCCTTCCAAATGAAAATGCAAGTAGTGTGCATAACTAGCGTTACCAAAGAAAAGAAAGCTACATGCAACACAGGATTCTCACCAGCTATAGTTACCATTCATAAGGGAAGCTTCAGAGTGAAATCTTGGGACTGAACATGAGTACATGACGCTGTGCTCTTAGTTTTTACAATGATCCTTGTATACTTCAGGTTCTGACAAAGATTTCCTACATGGCCATTGAGGGCATATTCCTATTTACCAGAATTCCTTCCCCATGCCTTCTTTTGTATTTGGAAAGTACCTAGCACACCATGAGTGTTGGGGAACCTTAGGGAAGTGGAGCTTTCAGTTCCCACAGAACAAGCAGTGTGTCTCTCCTACCCAAGTTACATCCGGAGATCTGTAGGTCCACCCTGCTGGTCTCACACATCAACAGAAGGGTGATACATTCATGCAAAAGTCCAGTGGTTCCTCACTATTCCTGGTTCTCCCTGACTTTCTTAGTAACTGCTCCTACTAGCTCCCCACTGGATCAATCCCCGTTCTGAGAGTTTGACAACACAGAGCTGGAGTCTGCATAAGATAGTACATCCCAAGAGGTGGTGGGAGAGCGAAGCAGGAGGATGACTCAGTCATGCCAAAATCATGTACAGAGGTTTCTGCAATGCTGGAGGAAAAAGGTATGATGCCACATTCGCTGAATCCCCCTCCCTCTGACATAATTTGGGACAAATTTGGTATGCAATTCCATTCTTTCATCTGCTCCATTGAGGGAGGCGCAGGTGGATGTGGACACACCTATTTTTCCACTTTAATTTACTGTACACTTCAAATTAAAAACTGTAAAACTTATCTCCATTCTATGTAGTCCAACATTTGTGTGAGTCACTGTATAAAACATATTTCCTGGCTTAGACCCCAATCCAGCAAAGCACTTAAACATATGCGTATCTTTTAATTGCAGGAGTAGTCCCATGTACTTAAAGATAAGCACATGATTAAGTACTTTTTTCGGATAGAAGTCTTAGTACTTAGTCCTGTTCCTGCACTTCTTACTCACTCAGAATTCCCACTGGAGTTAATGGGAGTTTTGCATAAGTAGGGAAGAAAAGGACTATGTCATCTGTAGACATGAAAGTGTAACTGCTATTTCTATAATAAAGCATTCTTCTAAGAAAGGACAGCACATGTCCTAACATACCAGAAGAAACCTCCCCAGAATGTGCATCTTCCACTCTATTTCTTCTTCTTTCTTCCTTAGTTCTTCCTTCTGTATGCCAATTTTATGTCTGAGTGTTTGGATCATTTGATACTGCATCTGCTCCTAGCATGCAGACAGAAAAATTAAAGAAGAAATCAACATATGCTGCTTATATCTCTGCTCAATACAAAGGCTCATTTACTCAGACCAGGGGTGGGCAAACTTTTTGGCCTGAGGGCCACATTGGGGAATAGAAATTGTATGGCGGGCCATGAATGCTCACAAAATTGGGGTTGGGGTGCTGGAGGGGGTGCGGGCTGGGGATGAGGAGTTTGGGGTGTAGGAGGGTGCTCTGGGCTGGGACCAAGGGGTTCAGAGGGTGGTAGGGAGAACATGGCTGGGGCAGGGGTGCAGGTTCTGGTTGGGGATGCGGGCTCTGGGGTGGGGCTGGGGATGAAAGGTTTGGGGTGCAGGAGGGTGCTCCATGCTGGGATCGAGGGGTTTGGAGAGCAGGAGGAGGATCAGGGCTGGGGTAGGGGGTTGGGGTGTGGGGAGAGGCACAGAAGTGTGGGCTCCGAGCGGTGCTTACCTCAAGCAGCTCCCCAAAGCAGTGGCATGTCCCTTCTCTGGCTCCTATGCGTGGAGTGGCCCCCGACACTGTTAGAGTGCTGGAGTGGGGCCATGACGCATGGTGCAGCCCCCGACCCGGCACCCTGGCTACAGCGCCGGAGCAGGGCAAGCCCCAGATCCCTCTCCGCAGTGGGAGCTTGGGGACAGCTTAAAACGGCTCACCAGCCAGATCTAGCCTGCGGAACGTAGTTTGCCCACCCCTGACTCAGAGCCATACTCCCGCCTTTCATGAGAAAAGGGGAAAAAAAGATAGAAAAATACTACTTTTTAGGGGACCAAAATTCTCTCCCCCCTCCAAACACACACATTTTGAGCACCATATTTATTTCAGTGGGGGATTTTAAATACATAATCAGTGCTCACAACCACAATATTCAGACTGTAAAAGTTGCATTTAGCAGCTACGTGTGACTTGCATTTTATGCAAGTGTGTGTGTTTGCTATGTGCTCTTCGGGTGAAATTCACCTCTGTATACAGAGGCAGATCAAGGCCTGTGTACCACTGAAGCCTTCAAAGTAGGTCTTAAATGGGGCACAGGCCTTGTGCTGAGCTTCTGTGGAGAGGTGAATTTCACCCCATCTAAAAAAGTGAAGGAAAGGCACATGGTGGTCATTGAGTGTATAAGGCAGCTGGGCTTTCTATTCTATTCTAAATGACATAGGTTCTTTTACTTTTTACAGTAATACAGTACGTCAAGGATCCAAAGTACATACTAATACCTTTACTATCTGTGACTCCCTGATTTTGTCATACTGCTCTTTCCACCTGGCAGTTTCAAGCTGGAGAAAATGATTTTGCTCTCTGTCTTTCACTATCTGTTGCTGAAGCTCTTGGTTCTCTATTTTGAATGCACTGATCTGTTGTTGCATTTTCTCTGTCTCAGCCCGCTCATTTTCAGATTCTGTTTGCAGGATTTTAATCTGAGTAACCAGCTTGTTATATTTGGACTCCAACTGCTGCCTTTCTGCCAGCCTGTCGTCTTTCTGTCTCTGAAGTTCTGCCTGAAGGGACAGGAGTTGTTTCTCTGCATTCTCCTTTTCTTCCCTTAGTCTGTGCAAGGCGGAAGTAGCAGTCTTGACCTCATGCTCCAGTTTTTGTTTAAGATGCTGCAGCTCTTGTATTTCTTGCTCTTTCCTGCGTATAGTCTGATCCATCTGTAAGCACTGGGTCGTAGATTTGATCTTCTGCTCCATCTCTGCCTCATGCTTTTCCTGAAGGAGACTATAATCGGTTTTAAGTTTTTCCAGCTGCAGCAGAAGGGCTTTTCTTTCAGCTCCAGCTTCCTCAAGATGGTCCCTGGCACTGGATAAAGCCTCCTGCACATTCTTCAGGCAGCTGTCAGTCTCAGACTTCTCCACAGTGATCTTGTCCTTTGCTTCAATTAGATCTTCAATGTTCTTCTTCAGCTTGTTTATGGTGTCTATAAAATGCAGCTGCTGGACAATTTCCACCTCTAGCTGTTTAATCTTGGTCTCCAAAGAAATGTTATCATAGTAAAGATCCATGATTTGGGTCTGCTGTTTCTTTTGGTCCTGTTCTACCTTCTTTATGACTTTGTCCAAGTCTACACACCCCTCTTCAAGCAGCAGCTTCTCTATTTCTTTAATCTTCTTTTCCAAAAAAATATTATCATACTGAAGATCCATGATTTGGGTTTGCTGCGTTTGCTGGTCCTGTTCTAATCCCTTGATGACCTCATTCAAGTCCACATCCCCCTCCTGAAATTGCCATTTCTCTGGGCCAAGCTCTGAGTTTTTTGTCTCAGACATATTAAAGGATGCTTCATAGGGACTCAGGCAGTGGCTTCTTGTACTATGAGATGGGAGAATTCCTTTACTACCTGTGTCCCCTTGCTTGCATTCTTCTTGGCCATCGAGTGACTTCTCAGAAAGATGGAATAAAGACTCTTCAGATATACATTCTCCCTGGGGGACAACCACAACCTATTGTCAACTTACTAGAAAAACAAAAGCATACATGACTTGATTGGCTGTGACTGTCTGCCTTACCTGACTAATTCACCTGAGGATAATTTGAATGAGTTCCATTTACTGTAAGAGAACCAATATTGTTGCCATTTTACCATTACAAACAGGAGGTCATATCCTCCCTCTTTAGTCAGTCCTCCTTACTCACACTGCATTTCCATTAACTCAAATGGAAGTATTACTTATCTGAGAACTGAATCAATCTGGCCCAGGCATTACAAAGCAAACCAAAACAAGGTTAATAGATAAATATAAATTTTCAAAAACACTTTTTATAATCATTTTTTCTTTTGAAATTATTAACAGCTCATTTTTGTAATGGCAAAAAATAAAATTGCAATAAATTCAAGACACAGAATCTTTCCCAACCAGAAACAGGATGCTGTGTATTTTCCTGGACTGACAATGAATAAAAAACAGCATCTCTGTAGGGCCCCAGTCCTGCAATGGCACCCATGGCCACTGTGTCTGTGCAGAGCCCCAAGGGGCTCACAAGGATGCCATTGTAGGTTTGGGTTCTAAATTGTGTTGAGCAACCATCTTACAACAAGAATTTTAAAAATTCAAACTATCAGGCACTGCTATTACACAGGATAGCATGAAAGTGGAGACAGAGAGCATTTAAGTTGAAAGGGTAAACAAGATCACAGATAAAAAGTGACTTTCACTGATCCGTTTAACAATGTATGTGTTAAGTATCAGAGGGGTAGCCGTGTTAGTCTGAATCTGTAAAAAGCAACAGAGAGTCCTGTGGCACCTTTAAGACTAACAGAAGTATTGGGAGCATAAGCTTTCGTGGGTAAAAAACTTAACATCTTTTTTTTGATGAAGAGAGGTCTTTTGCACAAAAATTTTATACACCCACACAT